GGTTTGAATGTGTCTTTATTTTCTTAGTCCCGCATCGATTTCGTCCGGTTAACTGATATTTCTGCCACATTCATAGTTTGTGGGGGTTTTATTACTAACTCAATTTTGTTTAGTTTATTGTAAATATTTAATGCACTTTGTAAATAGTCATTTGGGGATTTTTTTTTTTGTTATTTTTATGACCCTCCCCATGAACAATATTTGTAAATAAGGGGACTAGTTAGGACTTCATAGAGAAACTGAGGTATTATGGTGGACGTAGTAAGAAAGGTAGGAGTGAATGTGTTGTTTTGGTGATTGGATTATTGTTGGTATGTTTGGGTCAGTGTCTGCGACTAGCTAAGTTTAGATTTAAGACAGATGAAGACCGTCATTCCCCATCCCCTTTTTTCGGCCTTGTGCCACATTTTGTATTTTTTAATGCAAATAAATATTATTATCAGGTGACCATCACACTTCCGTCTCTACCGGAACGAGTGAGTGAGTATGATATTAAATAAAACTAATTCTGTATTTAAGTTTTATCATTTGGCTTATTAGGGAGTTTAAGTGAGGTATGATGTGTATATCATTCGTGTCTTATATTCTGTATTTTTGAGGCCTTTTGTTTTCATTGTAAGCATGTCTGGTATTGTTCTTTGGTGAGAAATGTGGGTAGGTTTTGATTTGTATAAAAGTCCGTTAATACTATCTATATTGTTAAATTTATGGTTTATAAACCGGCTGGATATTTTTTTTTAAACGTTGTATCCACTTATATTTTTTATATTTCAACTCTAAAAATCTTTTTAATGTTATCTGCTCTGGACTTTTCTAATCTCTCAATTATAGTGATTTTGGCATGGGTTTTGAAATCGTTTTTTCCAATGCGGAAATGTTGATCTACAATAATTAATTTTTTGAATGCATGGGGAGTCGACTTAATTTTTATTACTTTTTAATTATTAATTCTGTAGTGAAAGGGCCATTCAGATTTTCCCTACATATTGTTTCTGGCATTGTGTGCATTCTCGGAGGTAAATTATGTTTTGACTTCTTTTTAGAATCATGGTAGATTTTGAAAGTAGATTTAGTGATTGAGCTAAAATGAATTCATTCACCTAAAAACAAAGTTGCAAAATAAACTACTTTTTTTTTGTTATATGGTTGGGAAAATCCTGTTGTTTTTGATTTGTTAGTTTATTACGGATTACCTTGTCCCCAAGAAATGTCCTGTTAAACCTATGATTTCTTTTTGGTTCTTATCTACGATATGTTTTTCCTTAAACAATTTTTTTAGGTCTGATTTGAGATGTAGTATTTCCCACCGACTTTTGATTATTTGGGATAGTGGAGGCAGAAACATTGAAAATTTTATTAGAAAGATGCCAAAAAAAAATTTTTTATCTTTTACATTACGGTGTCTTCTCTAGGTGTAGAAATTGCTTTATTTATTTGTTCCCTGATTAAGGTGTTGTTTATAGTCACATGTTGTAAATTGATGTCTCCAAATTTTCAATGTGTTTATTTAATTCTTCATTGTTGGAACATATCCTTCTGAGTCTAAAATGAAAGAAATAGGAAGGTTCTCTTTAAGGTGTTTAGGGTGGGAAGACTTAAAGTGTAGATATTGTGGGTGACGGTGATTTTAACAAATGAAAATCGTTTGTAGTTTCCTGTTTTCATCTATGTAAATACGGGTGTCTAAAATGTTACTGATGTTGTGGATTTTTCCATATTCAAACTTAATTGATCGTTCACTGTGTTTAGGGTCAAAGGAATTGGGTAATCAGTGTCATCACAAATATACAAAGAATATATCATCGATATATCTTAATAGTATTAAAAATCACTTTTGAGAATGATTGGATAAATTTTGGGTCTCATCAAATTTTCCCATGAATATTGTAACATATGATGGAACTGGAATGTTTGCCAATTTTAACCTCTTATTTAAAGGTAAGTGCTCCATTGAAGTTGAAAGTATTCAATGTAAGAATATGCTCCATGAGTTTTTATAACTTCTGTGGGGGGTCTTGTTTTATTCTTTTTATTAAATTTTGTCTGAATTTTATTAATAAAATTATTCGGTGTGTTTTTTGTTTGAATAGGGTGACATAACGTCCAAGTCAAGAATAGCATTCTCTGGAACTGTTTGTATGTGATTAATTTTGTTCAGTAGATCTGTTGTGTCTCTGATGTAGGATTTTACTTCCTGAAAATAAATGTATATAATGGTCTTATATTTATTTGGAAATTTTGGTTATATTAGTGTTTCAATACGATGAAATTTTATATTCCTGAATTGTTGCTTTTATGTATTTTATCAAATCAGATAGAAGCTAGCAAATGATGATGTTTGTGGGTGTAAGTGTTGTGCATACTTGTCGATTAGATTGTTATGAAATTTATGTTTTAATGAGTGTATTAATTCTTTTTGGTATTCAGGAAATGGATCTGTATGTATGCTTTTTATAGGTTTCTTTGTTTATATAAGCTGTTTGTTGGCCTCTTTAATGTATTCTTTGATTTTCCCATTTCACTGTGGCATTTTTTTGTCAGCCTTTGTTAAAATTAATTTATCTCTATGTGTCAAAATGTCGAAATTATACGTTTAAAATTCAGAAATATTGTTATGTATAAAGCTTAACAAAATGTTTTTTTTATGTCATTTGCTATTTATGTTTAAAAATGTCTGTATAGTAATATTCTAATGTTTTGTTAACATTCTATAGTATCCTTTTTTTTAATGTCTCAATTCATAGAATTATCTTTGATCATTTTATTGTATTTTAGTGGGCTTTTAACTATGTATTCTTATTTTTGTTGCTTTTCATCCTTTGCCAATCCGACTTTAAATTCTTGATAAAAAATGAAAAAAAATTTTAAATTTTATTAATATATAAATATATTATATAACAAATTTATATGTTACTTAAATTTATAACTCGCCGGTATAAGTGAAATTTGAATTTGTATTCATGGCGAATTCTTTTTGTAAAGCTTTTTAAAAATCATAATTGAAATTTAATTATACCCCCACCCAGAGTGTCCTGGTTGACTTATTCTCTTTTTTTTTTTTTAAGTTTTTTTTTATTTTTTTTTATGCTGTTGATTGTCTACTTAAAACATAATCTTCAAAATCTTTGATGTTGATTTGGTGGTAATATATTTAAAAATAAAAGGGTAATGTGTTTTTTAAATTTGTGTATAATTTGTACAGTTTAATAAGGAAAACCAAAATCATAACATTTGTGTGTGTTTATTTTGAAACATTCTAAAAAAAAATATGGTGGCAACAAAAAAGAAAAAATGGTTGTGGTGCTGGTGGTTGTCTGTTGGTCTTTCAGTTATCAAATCAAATTTTTTTCAAAAATAATGGATTAAAAGTTTTGATTTTTCTGAAATTTGGCTTCATTTCCTTTTTGTTCTTCTGTCTGGAGGAAATATTCCAAACAATTTTTAAAATTTTTTCTTTTTTTGTTTTTTTTATGGAAATATAAATATATATATATATAAATATATATATATATATATATATATAAATATTTTATATTTATTATAACCATTACATTCAAAGAATGCATTTTAATGCTACAAAATTTTCAATTCGTTTTTGCACATCATTTATCTCATTAGGAACATGAATAATAAAGGTTATAATTTTTTAAATACGGGTCTATATTTTCAAGGACAATTTTCCGGGTAAGAGAATAAAAATTCAAAAAAAACATGGAAAACAGGACCTGTTCAGAATTTGAATTCAATACCTGGTTAAGGCATATTTATTTTAGGTGGGGAATTAATAGGAGATAATTCTTTCAGAAGTTAAGAAAACAACTAGGAAGGTTTTTATATTGAAAAAATGGTTCAAATTTGGGTGTCGAAATAAAATTGAAATTCTCCTGAAGATTTGGATTATGCTACGTTGTGATTTGGATGGTAAAAAGATGAGGACAAAATCCGAATAATGTAAATAATGTTTAATACATCATTTCCTTTATATGCATAAAGAAAAAAGTATTTGAGTTGAATATAAAAGAGGAAGAAAAGAAAAAGAAAGAAAAAGATAAAGAAAGTAAAAGTGAAAAATAAAAAAAAGAAGAAAAAAAAAAACGAAAAAAGTTGAAAAGAAAAGAAAGAATATGAAAAGAGGAATGATGCTTTTCGCCTATGTTCAAACTCTGAAAAAAAGCTCACAAAAATATGAAAAAACTATTTGAAAAGATCCAATTTTTTTTTGACAATTTTTATAAAGAGGAAGTTTATAAAATCAAAGGGGTATAAAAATATATAAAAAAGACAAACAGGAAGAAAAAAAAAATTTATAAGAAAAGATGAGGACAATTGTCCGATTATTAAATAGTGTTCAAAATACTTAAAACATATCTTTTAAAAAAATAGAAAAAGAAAAGAAGAAATACTTTCCCAAAATGAAAGGAAGAAATACAAAATTATAGTAGAAAAACAAAAAAACAGAGACCAGATACAATAAAAAATAAAATTCAAAAAGAAAAAAAAATAAATAAAAAATGTTTTTGGTATTGAATAAAGATAAATTAAAATATGAAATATGGATATATATATATATATATATATGTATATATATATAGATATATAATATATAGATATATGTATATGTGGATATATATATATATATATATATATGTGTATATATATATATATATATATATATATATATATATATATATATATATATATGTGTATGTATATATTTGTATAAATATATATATATATATATATATATATATATATATATATATTTATGTGTTACTTCATAAAGCTATGCATATACCTATATTATCTCTGTGTGAGAGAGGATGAGGTAGAGAGAGAAAGGTTGAGGGAGAAAGAGAGGGTGAGGATGAGGGATAAAAGAGAGAGATTGTATTGTCGTCTGTTGATTGCAGACGGAGTGCAAACTTTTGATCGTGCGAAATGGAAAAGCTGGCTGAGAATTTAACAAAAATTCGTGACGTCAGTTTAGTGTAAGAAGCAAAATGGCACCGACTTGCAGATGGAATCGTCACGCGCCAGACGCCATCGTCGCACGCGAGTGTTATCGAATCGTGAATAAGTTTGGAAACTGCCCGTTTCAAGAGTAGAGTACGATTCGTAGGGAAGAGGGGATGGCTTGATCTGACTTTTGATTGTTTTCATTTTAGAAACTTTTAAACTCCCATTTAACTTCTTTTTTTTCCTGATAGTTGCTTAATTCAAAAATAGTCCATTTTTCTTTTACTTGATTTTAAATTTTACAACTTTTTTTTTTATTTTAATTTTGTTTGCTTCGTTTCTTTTTAGTTGAGTTTTCCCGTTTAATTCTAAACATCTTCATTGCTACTTGTTTTCATTTTTCTTCTTTTCCGACTTAGTTTTCTTGTTTTTCATCGCCCTTTTTTTTTCTTAGATTTATTTCCTTTCGTATTTATCCTTTTGTGTATATAATTATTTCAGCTTTTCTTAGAGTTCGCTTTTGTTTTTCGATTCTATTTATTGCTTTATTGCAAGTTTGTTTTTGTAAACAACTCTTATTCCTCCATCATTTTTTTGTATCTTCTATTTTCAATTTTCTATTTGTTATGGCATCATCTTTTATCTATTTTTTATTCCTTCTCTTCCTTTTATAGCCTCTTCATTTTCTCTTTTTCCATTCTATATTTCCCTAAACTTTCTTTTTTTTTCTCGATCTTTCCTTTCATTTGTAAGTTCTCTTTTTCTTTCGCGCCTATTTTCTAATTTCCTCTTCTTTTTCCACTTTATTTTCACTCCCCATTTATTACATCCTTTCTCCTACTCCTCCCCAACCATTATCACATCATTCCCCCTCCTCTTCTATCCTCCCTTTCCCACGTTTGTTATATGCTTTCCTCTCAACCACTATCCTCTCTTTTCTCCACCTGTCACATCCTTTCCTCTCGTCTTCTATGCTCTTTTTTCTCCACCTGTCATAAAAGTTTCCCTCCTCATCTCTTTTATCCGCCTGTCACATCCTTTTCTCTCCTCATTTCTTTTCTCTGCCAGTCACACCCTTTCCTCTTCTTTCCTCTCTTACGTCCGTCTATTGCCCCATTTCCTCTCATCTTCTAACGTCTTTCTCCGTCTGTCACATCCTTTCCTCTTTTCATCTCCTTTCCTTACCTATCTTATCCTCTCCTCTTCTCTCCTATCATCTCTTTCTCCCGTCTGACACATCCTTTGCTTTTCTTTTGTATCCTCTTTTTTCTCCGCATGCCACCTCCTTTGCTCTCCTCTTCCATGCTCTCTTTTCTCCAACTGCCACCTCCTTGGCTCTTCTCTTCCATGCTCTCTTTTCTCCAACTGCCACCTCCTTTGCTCTCCTCTTCCATGCTCTCTTTTCTCCAACTGCCACCTCCTTTGCTCTCCTCTTCCATGCTCTCTTGTCTCCAACTGCCACCTCCTTTGCTCTCCTCTTCCATGCTCTCTTTTCTCCAACTGCCACCTCCTTGGCTCTTCTCTTCCATGCTCTCTTTTCTCCGCCTGCCATCTCCTTTGCTCTCCTCTTCCATACTCCCTTTCTCCGCCTGCCACCTGCTTTGCTCTCCTCTTCCATGCTCTCTTTTTCTCCAACTGCCACCTCCATTGCTCTCCTCTTCCATGCTCCGTTTTCTCCGCCTGCCACCTGCTTTGCTCTCCTCTTTCCATGCTCTCTTTTTCTCCGCCTGCCACCTCCTTTGCTCTCCCTTTGCTCTTCCATGCTCTCTTTTCTCCGCCTGCCACCTCCTTTTGCTCTTCTCTTCCATGCTCTTTTTTTCTCCGACTGCCACCTCCTTTGCTCTCCTCTTCCATGCTCTATTTTCTCCAATTTCCACCTCCTTTGCTCTCCTCTTCCATGCTCTCTTTTCTCCGCCTGCCACCTCCTTTGCTCTCCTCTTCCATTTCTCCGCTCTCTTTTCTCCAACTGCCACCTCCTTGGCTCTTCTCTTCCATGCTCTCTTTTTCTCCATTTCTGCCACCGCCTTTGCTCTCCTCTTCCATACTCCCCCATCTCCGCCTGCCACCTACTTTGCTCTCCTCTTCCATGCTCTCTTTTCTCCAACTGCCACATCCTTTGCTCTCCTCTTCCATGCTCCCTTTTCTCCGCCTGCCACCTACTTTGCTCTCCTCTTCCATGCTCACTTTTCTCCGCCTGCCACCTCCTTTGCTCTTCTCTTCCTTGCTCTTTTTTCTCCGCCTGCCACCTCCTTTGCTCTCCTCTTCCATGCTCTATTTTCTCCAACTTCCAACCTCTCGTTTGCTCTCCTCTTCCATGCTCTTTTTTTCTCCGCCTTTAAAACCTCCTTTGCTCTCCTCTTCCATGCTCTCTTTTCTCCGCCTGCCACCTCCTTTTCCTCTTCTCTTCCATGCTCCGCCTCTTTTCTCCCGCCTGCCACCTCCTTTGCTCTTCTCTTCCATCCTCTCTTTTCTCCGCCTGCCACCTCCTTTGCTCTCCTCTTCCATGCTCTCATTTCTCCGCCTGCCACTACCTTTCCCTTTGCTCTCCTTTGCTTCCATGCTCTCTTTTCTCCGCCTGCCATATCCTTTGCTCTCCTCTTCCATGCTCTCTTTTCTCCGCCTGCCACTACCTTTGCTCTCCTCTTCCATACTCCCTTTTCTCCCGCCTGCCACCTCCTTTGCTCTCTCCTCTTCCATGCTCTTTTTCTCCGCCTGCCAACTCCTTTGCTCTCCTCTTCCATGCTCTCTTTTTCTCCGCCTGCCAACTCCTTTGCTCTCCTCTTCCCTCTCCTTTTCTCCACCTCCTTTGCTCTCCTCTTCCATGCTCTCTTTCTCTCCGCTCTCTTTTCCTTTTCTCCGAAGTCTCTCCTCCAAATCCTTGCTCTCCTCTTCCATGCTCCCTTTCTCCGCCTGCCACTTCCCCCTTTGCTCTCCTCCTTTGCTTCCATTTTCCTCCCTTTTCTCCGCCTGCCACTTCCTCCTCTCCTCTTCCATGGTCTCTTTTCTCCGCCTGCCCTCCTTTGCTCTCCTCTTCCATGCTCTCTTTTTCTCCGCCTGCCACCTCCTTTGCTCTCCTCTTCCATGCTCTCTTTTCTCCACCAACTGCCACTTCCTTTCCGCCTGCCACCTCTCCTCTTCCATGCTCTCTTTTCTCCGCCTGCCACCTCCTTTGCTCTCCTCTTCCATGCTCTTTTTTCTCCGCCTTTTCTGCCATCTCCTTTGCTCTCCTCTTCCATGCTCTCATTTCTCCACCTGCCATCTCCTTTGCTCTCCTCTTCCATTCTTTTTCTGCCTCTCTCTCCTCTTCCATGCCTTTTTTTCCAACCCTTTGCTCTCCCTTTTCCAATGCCTCTTTTCTCCGCCTGCCATCTCCTTTGCTCCCCGCCTCCCCTTCCTCTTCCATGCTCTCTTTCTCCGCCTGCCATCTCCTCTGCTCCCTCTTCCATGCTCCTCATTTCTCCGCCATGCACACCTCTCCTTTTTCTCCTTCCATGCCACCTTTCTCCGCCATGCTCTCTTTCTCCGCCTGCCATCTCCATGCTCTCTTTTCTCCGCCTGCCACCTCCTTTGCTCTCCTCTTCCATGCTCTCTTTTCTCCGCCTGCCACATCCTTTGCTCTCCTCTTCCATGATCTCTTTTCTCCGCCTGCCAGCTCCTTTGCTCTCCTCTTCCATGCTCTCTTTTCTCCGCCTGCCAAATCCTTTGCTCTCCTCTTCCATACTCCCTTTCTCCGCCTGCCACTTCCTTTGCTCTCCTCTTCCATACTCCCTTTCTCCGCCTGCCACTTCCTTTGCTCTCCTCTTCCATGCTCTCTTTTCTCCGACTGCCACTTCCATTGCTCTCCTCTTCCATGCTCTCTTTTCTCCGCCTGCCACCTCCTTTGCTCTCCTCTTCCATGCTCTCTTTTCTCCGCCTGCCACCTCCTTTGCTCTCCTCTTCCATGCTCTTTTTTCTCCGCTGCCATCTCCTTTGCTCTCCTCTTCCATGCTCTCATTTCTCCGCCTGCCACCTCCTTTCCTCTCCTCTTCAATGCTCTCTTTTCTCCGCCTGCCAACTCCTTTGCTCTCCTCTTCCATGCTCTCTTTTCTCCGCCTGCCATCTCCTCTGCTCTCCTCTTCCATGCTCTCTTTTCTCCGCCTGCCAACTCCTTTGCTCTCCTCTTCCATTCTCTCTTTTCTCCGCCTGCCAACTCCTTTGCTCTCCTCTTCCATGCTCTCTTTTCTCCGCCTGCCACCTCCTTTGCTCTCCTCTTCCATGCTCTCTTTTCTCCGCCTGCCACCTCCTTTGCTCTCCTCTTCCATGCTCTCTTTTCTCCGCCTGCCATCTTTGCTTTCTTCCATGCTCTCTTTTCTCCGCTGCCATCTCCTTTGCTCTCCTTTCCATCTCTCTTTTCCATGCCACTCCTTTTCCATGCTCTCCCTTTCCATGCTCTCTTTTCTCCGCCTGCCACCTCCTTTGCTCTCCTCTTCCATGCTCTCTTTTCTCCGCCTGCCACCTCCTTTGCTCTCCTCTTCCATGCTCTCTTTTCTCCGCCTGCCACCTCCTTTGCTCTCCTCTTCCATGCTCTCTTTTCTCCGCCTGCCACCTCCTTTGCTCTCCTCTTCCATGCTCTTTTTTCTCCGCCTGCCACCTCCTTTGCTCTCCCCTCTTCCATGCTCTCTTTTTTCTCCGCCTGCCATCTCCTTTGCTCTCCCTCTTCCATGCTCTTTTTCTCCGCCTGCCATCTCCTTTGCTCTCCTCTTCCATGCTCTCTTTTCTCCGCCTGCCACCTCCTTTGCTCTCCTCTTTTTCCATGCTCTCTTTCTCCGCCTTCCACCACCTCCTTTGCTCTCCTTTGCTCTTCCATGCTCTTTTTCTCCGCCTGCCACCACCTTTGCTCTCCTCTTCCATGCTCTTTTTTCTCCGCCTGCCACCTCCTTTGCTCTCTCCCTTCCATGCTCTCTTTCTCCGCCAGCCACCTCCTTTGCTCTCTCCTCTTCCATGCTCTCTTTTCTCCGCCAGCCACCTCCTTTGCTCTCCTCTTCCATGCTCTCTTTTCTCCGCCTGCCACCTCCTCCTTTGCTCTCTCTTCCATGCTCTTTTTTCTCCGCCTGCCACCTCCTTTGCTCTCCTCTTCCATGCTCTCTTTTCTCCGCCTGCCACCTCCTTTGCTCTCCTCTTCCATGCTCTCTTTTCTCCGCCTGCCACCTCCTTTGCTCTCCTCTTCCATGCTCTCTTTTCTCCGCCTGCCATCTCCTTTGCTCTCCTCTTCCATGCTCTCTTTTCTCCGCCTGCCACCTCCTTTGCTCTCCTCTTCCATGCTCTCTTTTCTCCGCCTGCCTCCTTTGCCTCTTCCATGCCTCTTTTTCCCTGCTCTCTCTCTTCCATGCTCTCTTTTCTCCGCCTGCCATCCTCCTTTGCTCTCCTCTTCCATGCTCTCTTTTCTCCGCCTGCCACCTCCTTTGCTCTCCTCTTCCATGCTCTCTTTTCTCCGCCTGCCATCTCCTTTGCTCTCCTCTTCCATGCTCTCTTTTCTCCGCCTGCCTGCCACCCTCCTTTGCTCTCCTCTTTCCATGCTCTCTTTTTCCCGCCTTTGCCACCTCTTCCATCCTTTGCTCTCCTCTTCCATGCTCTCTTTTTCTCCGCCTGCCACCTCCTTTGCTCTCCTATTCCATGCTCTCTTTTTCTCCGCCTGCCACCTCCTTTGCTCTCCTATTCCATGCTCTCTTTTCCGCCGCCTTTGCCACCTCCTTTGCTCTCCACCTCCTTTGCTCTCCTTTCTCCGCCTGCCACCTCCTTTGCTCTCCTCTTCCATGCTCTCTCTTCTCCGCCTGCCACCTCCTTTGCTCTCCTCTTCCATGCTCTCTTTCTCCGCCTGCCACCTCCTTTGCTCTCCCCTCTTCCATGCTCTTTTTTTTTCTCCGCCTGCCACCTCCTTTGCTCTTCTCTTCCATGCTCTCTCTTCTCCGCCTGCCACCTCCTTTGCTCTCCTCTTCCATGCTCTCTCTTCTCCGCCTGCCACCTCCTTTGCTCTCCTCTTCCATGCTCTTTTTTTTTCTCCGCCTGTCTACTCCTTTTCCTCTCCTTTAATATCATTTCTTTTTCTTTCCTCCTTTTTCTAATTCTCTCTTCTTTTTCCTTCCTGTCTTTCATCTTTTTATATAATCTCTATTTATACAGTATATTTTATTTGGACTCTTTGTTTCCTCCTTTTCTTTCATCTTCTCAAATATCCAACCTTCTTTCCACTCTTTCTTCCGTCTTCCTTTATTTCTTCTCATTTTCTTTCTTTCTTTCTTTCTTTCTTTCTTTCTTTCTTTTGTGCTAGTGAGACGGAAAAGTACTAGGAAGTGGGAAAAAGTCAAACAGTTATGTCCTGACCCCAAAAAGAAGAGGTATTGAGCAATATTTCATGGGAAAATTAGCTCAGGGGGAGGTGTTTTAATGGGATGTTCCACTCTCCCTCTTGCCTATTGTGGACTGACTATGTCAGTAATATATATTGTGTACAAAGGACATACATAAGACTGGCTTCGGGAGTTGCTAGCCTTCCAACCGATTCCCTGCCTTTCAGTAGTGTATTCTCTTTTACAATAAACCTTTCTTTCATCTACGCGCATGTTGCAGTTCCTTTCACTCGAGTACCACCTTTGTCTGTTTGTAACATTTTTAAGGATACAACACTTTCTTTCTTTCCATGCTTTATTTATTTATTTATTTATTTCCATGCTTTCTTTCTTTCCATGCTTTCTTTCTTTCCATGCTTTCTTTCTTTCTTTTTCTTTCGTTCTTTCTTTCTTTATTTATTTATTTCCATGCTTTCTTTCTTTCTTACTTTCCATGCTTTCTTTCTTTCTTTTTCTTTCTTTCTTTCTTTCTTTCTTTATTTATTTATTTATTTATTTATTTCCATGCTTTCTTTCTTTTTTCCATGCTTTCTTTCTTTCTTTTTCTTTCTTTTTCTTTCTTTCTTTCTTTATTTATTTCCATTATTTCTTTCTCACCATGCTTTTATACTTTCTTTCTTTCTTTCCATGATTTCTTTCTTTCTTTTTCTTTATTTCTTTCTTTCTTTATTTATTTATTTCCATTCTTTCTTTCTCTCCACGCTTCCATTCCTTTTTTCTTTCTTTTTCTTTCTTTCTTTCTTTTTCTTTCTTTCTTTCTTTCTTTATTTAATTATTTCTATGCTTTCTTTCTCTCCATGCTTTCATTCTTTCTTTCTTTCTTTCCATGATTTCTTTCCATGATTTCTTTCTTCCTTTTTCTTTCTTTCTTTCTTTCTTTCTTTCTTTCTTTCTTTCCACGCTTTCATTCATTCTTTCTTTCTTTATTTCTTTTTCTTTCTTTCTTTCTTTCTTTATTTATTTATTTATTTATTTATTTCCATTCTTTCTTTCTCTCCATTCTTTCTTTCTTTATTTATTTATTTCCATGCTTACTTTCTCTCCATTCTTTCTTTCTTTTTTTTTCCATGATTTCTTTCTTTCTTTCTTTTTCTTTCTTTCTTAATTTCTTTCTTTCTTTCTTTCCATGCTTTATTTCTTTCTTTTAACGTTTTAGTTCCTGTTATATTTTTCATTGCTTTCCATAGCCTGATGCTTATACTTTTATTTCGTTCTCTAAGAGACAATAATTTTAATTCAGCTGCATTTTTTCTCTGTGAAAAATACTCGAAACTCTTGTGTAATTCAGGTTAGCAACGGTGGCTGCTTGTTATATGATCAATCTTTTGTTTGTAGCGTTATACCACCAATCTATAGGGTCTAATGAAAGGTTGTCGTCTTCAAAACGTAAAGAATTCTTTTGATTCAAGTTAGTTTAATCATTAATCTAATAAAACGCGTGTATATAGTTAAGACATTTCTGACTGAGTTGGGTGCCATGCACGACATCTATATAAGAGTTTCAATCTGACGAAGCCACTTAAGAATTCCACTCCTCAGTTTAATAGATTTGGTTTTGAAACATCTTTTACTCTGTTAGACAAAATTACCCCTAACCAATTTCCTTATCTCCTGTACAAGATAAGCGATCCCTACATTAACGTATTTGTAGTGTTTAAAATGTATTAATTCAACATCCTGAATTTTATGATGGATTCGGACTACGTGTCATTCAAGTGGTTTTGATGTGAAACTGTTTTCGACAAACACTTCATTAAAAAAATGTTTTCCACTTCAAATTGTTTGGCAACGAACGAAAAATGTAATCAGGAAAAAAGTAATAATCGTTTAAGGCAAAGTTTAGGAAAAAGGATAAAAATCGATTGTGGGAAAGGTCCTCAAAAGGGTAATAATCGGTCGGGGAAAATGTCAGGAAAATAGTAATAATTAGTTGGGGTTAAAGGTTAAAGGTTAAAAAAGTTAATAATCACTAAGGGCAAAGTTCAGGAAAATGGTAATAATCGGTTGAGTGAAAACGTGAGGCAAAAGTTAATAATCAGTTAGGGAAAAGATCAAGAAAAACATAATAATCTATTGGGGGAAATTCCAAGACAAAGGTAATAATTACTTGGGGCAAAGGTCAAGAAAAGGTAGCAAACGAATGGTAAAAGGTAATAGGTATTTGGGGCAAAAGTAAGAAAAAAGGTAATAATAGGTTGGGACAAAGGTAAAGGAAAAAGGTTTTCCTTCTCCTTGATTTGTTGCCAACTCAAGTCAAGAAAGCCCAATCATTCGCTGTTTTTAACCTATATCTGGTGGAAGATGAATTTATAGTTCTCACAAGGGTACATATGTTAAAGTGAACGCATCATCCTACGCTTTACCGATTGACTCTATCCGTGTCGGTAACCGCTACACTACACGCACGTTCACTTGCAGTTATTCAAACTGGGTCTCAAATTATTTGGAGAATTATTTCTCAAGAACAAAGATTTGGTTTATTTCTTTTGTTGAGATTTTTAACATTTAGCAAGGAGGTCGAGCAAAACTTTCAAACCATCTTTGAACAAGAAACAAACCCCAAATAACTGAAAACTCTACATGTCTCACATCTACATCATACTATTTTTAATAACACGTTGTTAGGGGAAAATTTGACATATAAACTCCACTTATCAAATTAATGGTGGCAAACCAGAAAAATTAATATCCTTCAAAAGGACGTCCTCAAAACGATAAAAATGCTCCTAATGATGGAATTATATACAGAGTGATTGAAAAGTAACTCCCTATTCCATTTGTCTGATGAACTCTTTCGTCTACCTATAATTTTTACAAGACGGGAGAGTCCATTATACATAAAATAGGGAGATAATTTATATGTAGGTTGATGGGGCGTGGAACATAAACAGAAAGTCGATATTTAATAAAAGCGATAAAAAAGGAAAACAGAAACGTCGGGATACTGAGAGAAAGCGGCTAGGTCGTACGTCTAGACACATCGGACGTCAGAAATTTAAAATTAAAATTTAATGTTTAACAACCCTATATCGTCGGACATCATCTCAATGTGTAATTATAATCGACATTTTGTTTATATCTTCGACCCTCCCTTACATATATCCTCCAACCTTCTCTACATTTGTCCTCCAAAGAAAGAAGAGGTGAAGGAAGGCAGGAATAAGAAAGAAAGAAAGAAAGAAAGAAAGAAAGAAAGAAAGAAAGAAGACAGGGATGAAAAAGGAAGAAAGGAAGGAAACAATTAGAAAGAAAGAAAGAAAGAAAGAAAGAAGAGGTGAAGGAAGGAAGGGATGAGAAAGAAAGAAAGAAAGAAAGAAGGCAGGGATGAAGAAGGAAGAAAGGAAGGAAACAATTAGAAAGAAAGAAAGAAAGAAAGAAGAGGTGAAGGAAGGAAGGGATGAAGAAAGAAGAAAAGAAGGAAACAATTAGAAAGAAAGAATACGCTGATAAAATAAAAGCCAATGTGAAAGATGATAGCAAATTAGGTTCCATTCCCATTAGTACAGGGTCCATTCAACGCATACATTTGAAGGTGCAATTTGTTACGTATACCAGAGCATACATACATACATGAAGTTTTAGAAAAGAAATGTTGGACCTGTTAGAATTACGTATGAGTCTCTATTTTGCGGACCAGAACACAAATACGCAAAAATCCACTAAAATGGGCTTAAAATCCCCAACATCAAATAACCAAACCGAATTGAGAATACATTGTTCTGGAATGTGTTAAAGTGCAAAGTTCATGACATCATAAAGATATAATAAAGTGAAAAAATAGAATGTACCCATTTTTGCATACTGAATGGTACTTTACAGACCAGATTTAAGTAAAAATGCCGTCATTTCTGTTGTCATCTTTGATTTTATACGCATGATTCATCTGATTCTACGATTTTTTGTTGTAATATGTCTAATTTAACTTTCATTTTATTTCTTAAATAAAGCTTCGATACTGTATAAGATTTATATATGTATAAGATGATACTTATGTGATGGCGCAATTCTCTAGTCTTGATCAGTAGGATTTAAAAGTGAAGGAGTTTCATTATCATCATTCTTGTTACAGAGACTTATCCAGGCGAATTACAACCTTAAATGAAATCGAAACAATCCAACAAGAAGAATAAGACGAGCAAAAAAAACAAGGAACCAGGAGACCAGAGATGAGTGATTTCAACATGTTATTCAGTTTGTGAAGGGTCATTTTATTAAGAATGGTCAAGTAGTGAGATTGAGTCAACTTGTATCCCTGTATTCAGAGATGTTAGTAGAAAGACGTAATGCCACTTTTTGCACAAAGATCAAACTTCAATATAACTTCAGGGATGAGTTAGCTTTCATCCAAAAGAAATCAAGATTGCCAATGTTTGTGTACAATAATAAAGGGCCAGTAGAAGAACATTCTAAATTGTTCACTTCATGGGGGCATTTCGAAGATCTTATTCACAAAGTTGAGTGTGGTCCAATGGAACAATTTTGTTGAGATGCGACATATTTGAGGCACCCAATCATTTTACGAGCCCCTCAAGAAGAACAAATTGTCTACTTTTGATGAAATGATCATCAAAAAGAAGTTGAGAACAAATGAAGGTTCGATTGAGAATAGTTCAAAATACCTTTGCACGATTGATTGTTATACAAAAAGAAAAGCATTGATTTTGAAGAGGTGTTTATGTTCGAGCTTTCACCATATCCTCTGTCACTGTGCCATCCTGATGGTACCATAACAAAAACTGTGAAGTCAAAGCTGTTTGCTTGTCTTGCAGAGAAAATACCCCAGCTGAGAAGCGTACCGCAAAACACTCCAAGTGTTTACGATGGCATGGTGCTATTTCCCAAGCTGCCAAAAATATTGAGACCTTTGGTGAAATCTTCGACTATGTTATTCGAAAGGTGCTAAGTGGAAGTTGCAGGGTTGCATTTATTCCAACCGATCACTATCTCCCTGATTCCATCAAGTCCCTGGAAAGTGGTCGCCAGTCAACATATGGATCTATCAAGGTGTCAGTTCTAAGACGGGAGCAGGTTTTGCCGATACAAATTTCTGCAGCATCAAAACAAATTAGATCTCAACTTCATAATAGACGATTTGCAATCAACTGAGAAACACGTATACTGAATGATAAAGAGCTCTATATAACGTTCAAGGACAGAGCGTTTTGTATCTCATCCAATGGAGAAAGGTCATAACCCTAACCCTAGTTCCTGACCTAATGTCATCCCAAGAAAAACCTGCCACAAAGATAATATTGTGGGCAAAATATGCATCTTCTCTCGGATTTGATCGTGTTAGAATTACTACAGTGCACTCTGATGTTGGGGTTCTATCATTGTACTACATTGATCCAGGTTCACTTGCTACTGGACTTTCCAAAGAAGGGATCTACGATATTGATGGTGCTGACATATTAGTTGAATTGTCAAAAGCTCTATCAGCTCTTCACTCACTATCAGGTTGTAATTCTACAAGTTTGTTTCAGTGGTATGGAGAAGAAGAAATGCTTTCAAGTACTAAAATCCAAGTAACGCTTTACTGAGGCAGCATGCTTGCTTGGAGAGCGTACAGCCATCCCAAATGAGTCATAGAAGAATACGTATGACTTTTATATGGGATAACAAATGAGACTAGTGTTGATGTCCCACGTTACAAGCTCTTCATCAACAGAAAGAAGTTTCTAGATTCTGATAAACTGCCTCCAACAAAGGATGCCTTGTATCAACACATCAAACGAGCAAATTTCCAAGTGCTTGAATGGAAACAGGCTATGAACACTTCATACCAGTGGACTGATCCAAATTACAATGGATGCAGAGTACCTGGCGACGATAACCTACAGCTTGAATAGAGATTGAAGAAGCCAGAATCCAACTCAACCTCGGAGTTTGTTTCTTGTGGTTGCAAAAGGAACATGCACTGGCGGAGCTTGTGGTTGCTACAAACTGAGTCTTCCTTGCAGCAACCATTGTGAGTGTGAAAATGCGAAAAAATTGCCAATGAGGATGTCAACAATATTAGTCCTTATGACAGTGACCCAGAACCCGAATCAGATAATAATTATGGCAATGATACGAAGATTTAGGATTGTAATGATATGAGTTCATAAAAATCATTTGTTCTGTGTGTACCTCTGCGATATACTCTTTTATATTCGAGTCTACATATTTTGTTCAATAAAATACAACCTAACGAGTGTTTGTTACAGGTATATAGATCATTTTAAAGCTTTGTTCAAATATTAAAATGAAAGTTAAATTAGACACATTGTGACAAAAAAAAAACATAAAATCAGATTATGTGCATAAAATCAAAGAAGACAACAGAAATGACGGCGGTTTTGCTTAAACGTTGTCTATAAAATATCCCCCAAGATGTAAAAAGGTGTATATTCTATTCTTTTCACTTTAATATATCTTTATCATACCATCACAGTTGCATTTCAACACAATCCAGAACAATATAATCCTAATTTGGCTCGGTTGGTCTTATGTTGAAGGTTTTAAACCCATTTTAGTTGATTTTTGGGTGAGTCTTCTTGTCTGCAAAAGACACACCCATAAGTAACCCTGGCAGGTTCAACATGTCTTTTCTGAAACTTTATGTATGTATGCATGCCCAGGTATAAGTAACAAATTGCTCCTCCAGGTGTATGGTTTGGCCAACCCCTAACCTGGAACCTGTACTATATAAACCATTCTTCAAATACAAATATAGATGAAGTTTATCAATGTTCTCTTTCGATTAGGAATTTGTTTAACATAATATTCTAGCTAAACATTACTTTCATCAACGTCTTGTTGTGGTTGTTATTAAAGTAGATATTTCATTTCCGTGTTTGTATATGATGGGGTTTCTAAAAATAGGGATCCGACATAGAATTAGAAATTGTTATCAGTAATTACTTTTACCCTTGCTCTATTTTCTCTACGTGAGATTTTTTGCTTCTTAGTAATAATACTTCATTTTAAAAAATAATTACTTGAGTAAATTTTTCAAACGATGTCTACATTTAGAAGCAATAAAATACAATTAAACAATTCGCCTAGAAAAGATGACAGTCTTACAAGGAATTCTGGGTAAATTAGCTCATCTCTGTGTGAACACGGTACCAGTTATCAAATGCGCATAAGTGACCTTAAACCCGAATAACCCCTTGCTCTCAGAAGGGTCAGAATGGTACGTATATGTTAATAATAAAAGATATGGGTTTGCATATATATTTCCCCTAAATACTATCTCCGGTTTACCCTCTTCCTTCAATATTCAATATATTATAAATATACTGAAATTGGTATATATATATATATATATATATATATATAGATAGATAGATAGATAGATAGATAGATAGATAGATAGATAGATAAAGAAAGAAAGAAAGAATAACATTTCTAAAACGCAGATACCGACATCAACTAATAGATCTGCTATTCTCCGCGTCTTTCGCGTCACCTGCAAAACACATAGAAACGGCTTATACTGAACAGGAGAAAATAATCTTCTGCCTTCACAACACGGTCTACAGCCATTTGATATACGCACAGGCGTGGTTTTCCCACTTGGTGCAGCCATTGTTCCCGCCTCTTCTACAACAAACCTGCTTGGTTTGCAAGTCAGGCGCTATCTGCCAAGTGTTGTTTGATGTTAAATATGGCCTCTTTTTCACTTGTACGATTCTTGCAGCTAAATAGTTGCCGCTTGCAGATTCCGAAAAGAATGTAGCCGAATAATAATAATAATAATAATAATAAGAAGAAGAAGAAGAAGAGGGAATAGAAAAAAAAGAAGAAAAAGAAGCAAAAGAAGAAGAGAATACAAGTTTATTTAAACGTCTCAATGTATTTAAAACCCGTTCTTTTATTCAATATTTACCGACTTTATGCAATACACACGCACACGCACGCACACACACACACACACACATACACACACAACACACAAGACACACACACACACATACATATATATATATATATATATATATATATATATATATATATATATATATATTGCATGAGGTCGGTGAGTATGTAGAATTATTTTATCTAGCCGAATTCATTTAGAGTCTTTTTCTTTCCATCAATTTTGTAAGTCGGTACTCTACACTGTGATATTAGATCTGCCAGCAATGGTGAAATGTTGTAAGGGTCAGGGCGCTAATTTACTGTAGATGATCTTGTGATTAAGTCACTCTCCAGACATTTACTTTGTAGTAAATTATTTCTCCTTTGATCAGAGTATCATTTTTATGTCAAAATTGTGGTCAGTCTCGTTACGGCGGGCAACCAACGCATTTGACTTTTTATTATGTAAAATGTCCCCTTTATGTTCATATAATCTTTTATTTGGATTCTTTGAAGTTGCATTTTTTGTGATAATTATTACAGCCTATGGCGTAAAATCCTCCTTAAGGTGGTAGCTTATTGTTTTGTTTAGTATTGACTAAGACTTATTGTTTGGGATGTAGTAGTAACAATAATTTTGTCGAGTTTAAATATATTATTTTCGATTGTAGGTATGAAAGAATTAGTAGGCAGAATATTTTTTTAATTCATTGTCAATTAGGGTAATTGAGAAGTTTATTTTATATTCAATATAAAGGAAAACGATAAATAATATTTTTATACATCAGGAGAATTTTAAGGAAATCTAACATTAATCCTAACCCTAATCCAGGGAAAATCTATGACATTTCAGGGAAATCTATGACAATTTTAAAAAAAAATGAAATTACTTCGCATGTGTAATCACATCAACGGAAGCCTCACATTAGTCCAATGATATCTTAAATGATGAAACACGTCACACGAAAGATTTTTTTCAATTTTGTCATCAACTCCCTCAATATATATATATATATATATATATATATATATATATATATATAAGTGCTGGAGAACGAACAGTAGGATTACAGCGTTCAAAACATTAATTTAAAAACAGTGCTTAATACACAAAGTAGAGTCGTAAATATTTATTTATTTTATGCAGTGTTACATTGGAAAATGCAGATACCCACTACAAAATTCTACATTTTTGTTTCAACGTCAAAAAAAGGGAAAAACCTTTTTAGACGTCTCATCAGGTGGGGAATCACGGTGTTACTAAAAAAGATTTTATTCAGAAATACAGTTATCGAAGCAAATTTCCCCACTTCCGTTCTTTGGAAATTTTCATAAAATGTCTTTTAGAATTTGCATGTAAAGATCTCCCTCCCATCTCTACATGTAAATTAAAGTAATATATCCGTTGTTATATAATCCAAGTGGATCCTAATAATATAAAAATATTAAAATTGATCCACAAAAAGAGGTCAATGTATTAGTATTCACTTCATCTTTCTTATAACCCCAATTTGGGGTTTTATTGTTCATATCTGGGTTGAATTTGTGTAGCTTCTTTCCTTTTAAAATAGATAACTTCCACTCTCTCCTTACCACCACTAGGACAGTTTGTGTTGTCTGCTATATTATGGGTTGGCTCTGTATCAATTTTTCAACTATTGTCTTTGTGAAATATTAAATTTTAAATCTCATGTTCCGACACTAAATCCAGTCACCGTCTCAGTTGAATAAGACTAACGCATTCGACGTTAGTTGAAATAGACTATGCTTATGAGGTAATTTTGGATTTCTATGTTATATAATATATATATATATATATATATATATATATATATATATATATATATATATTTTGGAAAAACCTTAGGTATTTTGGCTTGTAATTGAACAAACCAATGTCCAAGGGAAAATAAGGGATAAAAAAGAAAAAACTAAGACCATGAAATTGACGCAAAAATATATATATATATATATATTCCATTAGTCAGACTAATCAGTGGTTTAAGAAAATCAAAGCATGTCTGATTTAAAAATGAAAAGATTGTTGGGTAAATAAAACGTATATTTCAATTGATTTTGTTTAATTTGCTTTTCTCTTTTATAGTTGTAGACATAAGTTAACCACGACGCAAGTAAAAAAGATTTGAATGGTTGAGCAAGGAAAAAAATGCAACAATTTCCTCGGCCATGAATAAATGCTACGACCACTCCTTCTCAAAAAATTATGCATCAAGGAGTTGAATTTGTCTGAAGTTCAATCCCAGACCACAAGGAAGCCGATTAAAATTTGATTGGATACTTCCGGTCAAGAAGGAGCTGGGTAACTGGCGAAATGTCCTTATATTTTAAATTCCATAATTTTACACTTCAATATAAAATTAAATTAAAATCAATACTTGTCGTAAATGAATCACAATTCATGATGTCATGGAAATGCAAAATATGATAAATAAAATGCTATATATTTTTCTGCATTTAATATATTTTCTCGCCATTTTATGTAACATTTAGAAATTATTAAAAAATATTTACTAACATTACTTGGTTGTATATAAAGCATTAATTCTTTGAATAAAAGTAAATATCTAAAAAAGCAAAAATATTTTGATTAAAAGTAATTTGGCACAGTCCCGGTAGGTTTTATCATCTCTCAATTGTGTCTGTCTTCGGAAGACTGTGACGCAACTGAGGAAAATCACAACGTATGGTGCCCAGAACTGGCGAACAGATGCCCGAGGCTTCACTTTCTCATTGCACTAGAGTGAGGGATTGGTGCTCGCACCGAGGCAAGCACAAACGACGGTTGCGGGGTCTCGTGGAATTTTTTTGTTCTTGGCCCGAGTGTAAGCGCTCGGATTCCCCACATTAAACCTGACGTTGTGACACAACACATCTCAGTAGAGAGACCAGGGTAAATATACTCCCGTAATCCTGTTCCACAAAGTAACAATTCTAGGGGAGGGAAAAGCTGTCTCAGTGGAGAGGCCAGGTTAAATATACTTACGAGTTACACACCATAAGTGATGCAACGAACTGGGTCAAAAGAAATAGCAAAACAGGCACAACAGAGTAGATACTTCTACTAAACGATTTGGTTTCAACCATAACAAATGATATCACCATTAACCAGAATCGTTCATCGAAAAATAATAAGATACACTGCGTCTTTCAGACAAAAAACATTATCTAAACAAGAATACCCGATAAAAGAGGAGAGAGGGCCTGTCAGAATATAGGCGTGGAAAATGAAACAAATTCAAAATTAAGAAAAAAGGACCTTACTCGGGAATAAAGAAAATTGTGGAACATTAGATTCAATTCGTTCCCATAATAGTTGCAGCCTTTGGAACTACACCAAGAGACTCGAGATTAGATTAACTAGAAATCGAAGGAAGAATTGAAATTGTGCCGACCAGGGGAATCTTCAAAGAGATTCAGAACGACGTTAAGATATCGTCAAGAGAACTAGTGCTAATCTCCAGACACCTGCTGTGAACATAGAGGGAATAATAATAATAATAATAATAATAATAATAATAATAAGTAATAACCTCCCCGACATAACAATCAGAGCTAACCGCCCCGACATATCAATGGAATCTAGCCGCCCAGACATTGTTATTAGAGACTGCAAACAAAAAAGTGCCTCCTTATTGATATGGCAGTACCTGCAGGGTGCAATGTACTTTGAATATCTTCAAAAAGCGATCAAAATACATGTTCCCATGTGTCACGTTTTTGAGATTTTCGATTTCAATACCTTGAAATCGAAATCTCAAAATTGTAGCACATTGGAACATCAACAATCAATGTTGTAGTTGGAGCCCTCGGATTAGTTGGAAAAAATTCCAGTAGACTAATTGAAGGAATTCCTGGAAGGCCATGCCTTAAAGAAATACAAAAAAATGTTCTCACGAGTACAGCCCACACCTTACGAAGGGTTTTATCTATGTACTTTTTTTCATTTTTTTTTTTTTTTTTTGTTAGTGGAAAATGTCATAATGCCATTTCTAGCCTTAAGTCTCTGGCCGGGACCCAGAACGAAATATGTACACACCAGAAATCAAAGGAGATAAAAATGATAATAAACGATGTGAAAAGTGTTGTAGAAAAAACGCTAAGATAGAAAACGAAAAGAAAATTCAGATTAGACAAATCTAGATAGTTTGATTTCGTTTGGTTTCTTTTGTTTGACGGTATATCAACCTCAATGGGTCATTTAATGCCGACAAAACTTTTATTATTGTAAAAAAATGTATTGATGCTAATATTTTTGTTCCAAAAATGTACAGCTGGTAATTTTTTTTTCCAAAAAATGTATTGCTAGTAATATTTTTTCCTCAAAAAATGTACTGCTGGTAATATTTTTTCCTCAAAAAATGTATAACTGGTAATAATGTATAATTTTTCTTCAGAAATATATTGCTGGAATTAAAACCCATTTTTACCCTTCAATAGTGTTTTGGCCCCAGTTTGGGGGGAGTCAACTATTTACCCATAGCTGGGGTCCCCTAACAAGTGATACCACCCCGGTCAAGGTGGACCTGGTAACATCAGTAAGAGGTAGTTCCACGCTCCTCAAAACCTCCTGATCAGATGCTTTGCTGTTGGACGTAGTTTATCGTCTTACCCAGGACACGGTCCAAATCTAGAAACAAAATAATTAATTATAATTAAAGTTAGCTCAAAAATGGCATAAACAATGACTGGGCTGGAAGATGGATCCAC